TCACAAATCATAATATGTATATGTACATCAGTGAGGTCAGTAGTGTAGTGAGGGTGTGTGTGGACATGGGTGAAGTGTGTGTGGAAAAAGGTAATATATCCAATACCAAAGACTATCAGAAAACCAAAGACCACAACAAACCAGGAACCTGCTGACTGGAAGGAGAGGGAGAGAATGAGCACAAATCAGCCATTTATAAAAAGAGCAGCAATCAGGACACACCAGGTGTAGCCCATCAATGGCCAACCCTATGCCACTGTCTCCTGTGAAGAGGGAAAGACCCAGACCAACCAGTGGGGGAGGGGTCATCACAATGGCGACAGCCAAAGACACCACACTTTGTCCATTTTTATTATATAATCTATGATGGCACATTGAAGTGGTTACATTATTTAATTTATTCACTTTTCGCATATCATTCTACAACAAATCCAGCCCAGTCTGGGAATTAAATTATGAATGGACAGAACATTTCCAGTGCCAAAATTCAGTGCTTTTGTTTGTAATTATGTATCTTTCAGACACATGTTCATTCCAGATACGTGGTTCCTTAAAGGTCTGACAGTTGGTGAAGCTACTGTTGTAAATGCAAAAAAAGATATCAATGCTGCCAGCGTCTGCCTAAACTCCAAACATTGAAACCACTGTAGGGTTAAGAGCATTAGCTTCTGTAAGCCGGAGCTCCCTCTACATTTTGCACTTTTATTCAGAATCCTGTAATGCTCAGCCCAGCTAAGAAAATCCAGATGACTCCCTGAGTAGGCAGATGACAGACAGCCTTGGGGCCACTCTATTACAAACAAACAAATCAACAGCTCCAGCAAACAGAGTCCTACTGGATATCTCCTCCTGCCAGTCAGCTCCAAGCTCCAACTCATGCTTCTCTATTCTGTGTGTGAGAGCGAGAAATCAATGTGTAATCATATTCACACTGTCTTTGGCAGGAGACATTGGGGGCAGACATGGAATTGAGATGACCCGCTCTGCGCAGGAAGGGTGCAGAAGAAGCCAAATACATTCAAATAATTTTCTGTCTTTGTTTCGCCTCTTCCACAGTGTCCTGATTCATCTCTCTAGATTGTACTTGACAGAGGTGACTCATTTTCAATCAACTTGATTAGTGTCACAGAAGAAGCATTTGGCGCTGAGATGGTTTTTGCATGCTTTGATTGAATAGATGTATATTGCTGGAGCTTTACCTCCCTCCACAGTTGCTGCTGCGTGTCACCACCTGTTAGTCAGCCACTGTGGAAAAACACTTCACTGTGCCCTCTTACAACAGAAAGAGCTAATGTGTCAAACCAATCCAATATTACTGCTATGATTTTTCTTGATCTAAATGTCAAGCATTGTCTTTTATGCTAATTGTCTTGCCAAGGGCACCGTTGCCTCATACTGTTCTCATTACTTACTTTACCCAGAGTGCTAATGTGGCTAACCACCCCCACATATCAGCCTTAGGGGAGGAGCAGGCTGCACAGTGTGCTGAAGTCACATGCCAGTGATGGCCAGGCACATCATGATAATGTCTGACAATGTGTGCATTAAAGACACATTTCATTTCACACATTCATCACAACAATTAGTCACAGCCAAATCACAGTGGGATCTACATGATATGGACTAATTCAATATTGTAGACAGCCAGAGTGGGAATGCAACCTTAGTTCCAGCAGTGGCATTGCCATATTCTTTACCATATATATGCAGCATAGAGTTATCAATAGAGACTGTAAGATAGCACTGATAAGCCTCTTGTTTATGGTAGCTGGACTTGTGCTTGATCTATGTAACCTCAATGATTGATCAGCTTGCATCTGCACAACTTGACGCTAACTACCTGCATCTCTGGATAAAAGAAACACTGTTTACAAGCTCTACAGTTGAACATCTTCAGCGGATGAGTTACAGTAGAAAACAGCCTTAGCAATTCCACAGATCACAGCCATTAAGTATTCATCCCTTATTTCCATTCCTTTTAAATTGCAAGCGCCAGTGAAATGTGTGGAGACAGCAGCTCGCCCAGCTCAATTATTCAAAACACGCCAACTGTATTGTGGCTAACTGAGGGCTTGAACATGATTATGCACATATATTTCCTTTGTACTCTGCGTTGCCTACCTTCAATCATGATCAGCTTCCTTTTCTTTTTTTTCTACATATACATTAATGACTTTTACTATTTCTGTTACAGGGTCAGAGAGAAGGCTGCAAAGACCTAAGGTCCCTTTATTACATTGCTCCTTAGAAAATCTCTTTTAATATGTTTGCATATAATATACCCTTTTAATTGAAGCTTTCTGATCTTGGGGATTTAGCATCCTTAAGATTTACTCAGTAAAAGTCATTTGAGGTGAGCAAAGATACACTGTCTTTTAACCTCAAGTAATCCAGCTTGCTGGAATGGGAGAACATTTTATGTCCTTATCATATTAAAGAGTTAATAAATGCTGATTAATAGAATGTGTGGAAATCTAACAAGACATTAAAGGTTATTTTGAAGACAAGTCTAAACAATTATGTGAAGATGTTTGTACAACAATCAAAGGCTAAACCTGGTAAGGTAAAAGGCATTTCCTAATAAAAACTAGCTTTCCTCTCTGTGTCAACATTTCTACAATCAACTACAGCATCTATAGAAATATTGCACACCTTGCATGCACAGAGAAATATATGCTGAATTTATTTAGCATACTTGGAAAACATCTTCTGTTACACACTGGACCTTGAACTGATAATGAAGAAATCAAAGGACCCTCTGTTACTGTTTGTGCAGCTGGGCGATGAACTGCTGCTATTTTTATCTTTGTATAATAAATAAAATTAATGAAATCAAATTATGTCTTAGCCATTGAGTTGAGCCAATATATACATGCGCACACGCACACGCACACACACACACACACACACACACACTTCATTTACAACTTAAACTAGATATAGGACTGGCATCAATCATTTCTCCAGTCCACTCACACTAACTCCTTTCTCTTAGCAGTCAATATATTTCACTTTTCCAATTTCATCCAGCACTCCACCCATCTGGTCTCAGACTTGTGCCTCATGATAGGGGAAAAAAAAAACATTTAAGGAAATAAATAGACCCCTCTGTCTCCCTCCATTTCACAATCACCTCAGGAGATAAGATGACAGAAACTGTTTTCTCATCTTCAAAGGTATGAAAATGAATGATGCTGGAGGATATGGAAGATTTAAAGGCAGGGGCCCACAAGATGCTTCCAACTACTGGCTCAGTAAACTATATTCAGCTCTTTACCTGAGAAAACTTTATGAAAAGTAATATCTCAATAGCAAACATGTTATACTAGTTCATTTTTTGGTATGCAAATGTAAGGTAAGTTTCTGCACTTACATAGTTAAGTATGCAGCTTAAAAGGTATAGTGTTTAATATTTATGAGGATCTATTGGTAGAAATGGAATATAAGATTTAGAGGTATGTTTTTATTAGTGTATAATCACTATTATAAGACTTGTTTTGTTTTTGGTACCTTAGAATGAGCCATTTTTTTTTTACAGAGGGAGCGGGTCCACTTCTACAGAGGCCACAATGTTCAACCACTATGTTTCTACAGTAGTCCAGAATGGGAAAATCAAACACTGGCTCTAGATCAGTTATTCGGTGTTATTCGCTAGTTTCACGGACACAGTAGTGTCTCCTACACACATTACAGTCCGTACTTATTCCTAGGTTGTCAAATACAGACGCAGCGGTGTTCACTTAGGTGCAATCTGCAACTTTACTGCTAAATGGCACTAAATCCTACACAGTAGTCCTTTATAACAGAGTGGTATGCCATAATGCACAACACCAAAGAAGCTTGGCACGACAAAACTGACGATGACTTTTAAAAAAGGTTTTTAATAGGATGCTCGATATTGGCTTTTCT